GCCCTCACCCCCATCCTGTACATCTGCGGCTGCTCCCCGCTCAGAGCCACGCTGCTCACCAAGGTGTGGAGGCCCTGCTGCAGGAGGAGGTGAGAGAGGGTGGTGATGGTGTTAACTCCTCAGTGCTGCCTGCAGTTGTGTGTCATGATGGTCACATCTGGCTTCACGTAAACATGTGATCACAGCTGGAATCACTTTACAGATGCTGCAGAAAACTCACTTTTATTGTTTCATTTATGTGCGTAAAGGCACGAAAGTGAGGTGAATACCTCTCCACATATCTTAGAGTTATCACCTCATGTTACCATATTGTAGATGGAGTATAAAACATATTGCATGTTTTGTATTTTATGCCTTTATAGGTGCATGTCCTAAAACATCAAGACAAATATAATAAGTATTTATCTTTCTGGCTCGTTTTAAATGTCTTTTCCCCATTCTCTTCCATTCTCTCCACAAGGCGTGTGTTCTGGAAGACTCGGTCCCATTAGACGCCCACTGGCTTCATTTCTAAGTGGATGGATGTCAAAGTTGATAAAGTTTAAAATCTATGCCAACATTATAAAAACGCATTTAAACACATAGTGGGAAAGTGAGAACAAGTTCAGGGTTTCATGGGAGATGAAAATGTTTCATCAGGCACTCAGCACATTAAGGATGTGTAATCCTGTAATCAACACCTTGTTTCATATGTTGTCAAATCACAGGGAACACATTACAGGTGTTATTCCACAAATAAGTGATGGAAATAAGGCTGAAAAGGACCATGTATCATATGGGGTATTTGTTATTTGTAATATGACATGTAAATGAAAAATTAAAGGTTGTCGATGATATTTTTAAAACTTCTGAACAGTTTCTTAACATGTTCGACATAAACCTTCTCTTTTTCCTTCGTGAACACCTGATCAAATTCATTTTCAACCACTAGAGGGAGCAATGAACCCTTGTTTCTCTAATGATGTCTCACTAAACATGCACCAAATAAGTTTGATGGATTTTGGATTTGGATGACATGAATTTGTTCCTGCACAATTCAGTTGTGTGTTTTATGTCTTCTCAATCCAGTTTGTATTCAGGATTCGATAAGCAGCATTTTAAATATGAATGTATACAACTTTAATCCGCTCATAACTTAGTAAACACATATATTTTCTTGTTCCAAATAATACAACGTAAAAGACCCTGAAAGATTTCCTAAAAATATGACATTAATGAAAACACTCAGTTGAGTTTACCACTTGTAAAAAGTCAGTTTGTCTGAATATAGACACTTTAAACAGTCAACACATGTCGGCAGTTTATATCTTTAGCTTTAAAAGTAGTCAAACACAAAGAATAGTGAGTGGCCCTCAACTGTGATCACGATAAGAAACTAAATTAGATTTAATTTACAGGTTTATTTTCTTTCTTTTACCCTAAATTGTAGAAACAGTTTCAGGTGTTTGTGTCTAAATGTTTCTGTCAGCTTTCATACCTAAGATGACCTTTAAATTCAAAGTGATTTACATTAAAATAAAGAATTGAACAATTGAGAAACTTCCCAAAAAAAGTTTAGCACAAGCATCATTTCACATTATTTATAATAACATTGTTGAGTTTGAGCTGTATATATTGAAGCAAAGCTGAAATGATTTATTGTATGAAGCTCAAATCAACTCCTGCTTTTCTTTCTGTGTCAAACAGAAACGGTGGAATCGACCTTGTTACTGGTTCTTAAGTGATGAGATGTGTTGTCTATGAATGTCTGAGCCTGAGATTCATAACAAATTGTCCTTCTTTTATGAACTTCAGTCAAAACTGAATTGGTCTGTCTTATGAGTGCATCGCCTCAGTCACTGATATGTGTTCATTTACAAAAGCTTTCAGTGCAAAACTCCTGTATATCTTCTATTAAATTATAGAAGTCATAATCATCATTTTGAAATTTGTTGGGCCCAAAGTCTGGACTTAATTATGAAATTAAGCGTTCAGGTTTTTGGCACCTAACTCATGGAATTATTTAGAAATTCGAATTGTTATGTTGGGACTATTAAATGTAATGAAAATATAAACTAAAAACAATCGAGAGTCATTTATTCTAATCGCAGGCTGTTGTTATTTTTAAGCCTGTTACTTCACTTGTTGACCAGGGCATCAGCTGCAAAGTAAAACACCCGGGGCTGAGCCCGGAGGGCGGGTACTAAGGTGTATTAATAAACTTATATACACGCCTATTTTGTTCTCTAGTAAAGAGAAGAGCAGATATGCACCCTAACATATAAATGATAGATTCTATTCTGCTGGACAGTTTACAATACACAATGTCACAAACACTGCAAATCTCAAATATCTATTTTTACTTTACATGTAGGCACTTGTATTTTAGTATTTCCACTTTATGCTACTTCATACGTCTACTCTTAATACATTTCAGAGAGAATTACTGTATTTTATACTGCATTATATTTATTTGACAGCTTTTAAGATGAAGATTTCAAATAATAGATAATAGAACAAGCTATTAAAACAAGACTAAATCAGTGCTTTTGAAAAAATGTTGCCTCTGAAAAAAGAAATGTAATTTTTTCACAGGGCAGAGTTGTTTAAAGCTTTTCCCTCTGAAGTTCTCAATGGTTTAATGATCCATCTCACCACAAATCAAAGAGAGAAACAAGATCTCACAGTATATTTAGTGTATATAAAACTGTTTATAATGAATTTTACTGGAGCTTCACTTTCTGCTTACACGGCTTCTTCAGTATTAATGATCTAATGATGTCATGGAGCTTAATAAAATAATATAATAATCTGTCAAACGAGTACTTTTACTTTAATACTTTAACTACAGTTAACTAGCCTGTATGTGATGGTGTCAGGTGTAGTCAAATCTAAATATTTAATCCCAGAGATCGCACAAAAATGGTACAAAAACTTTAGAGATTAAAATACCCCCGAATAATATCAGTTAATGAAATCAGTCAGACAATGAACTCCCTTTTATTTATTATACTCTCCACACTGATTTCACATTCATTCAGTTTAGACTTGTGCTGCACCGAAGGCTTAAAGGTTCAGTGTGTAGAATTTAGTGACATCTAGTGGTGAAGTGTCATATTGCAGATGAATGCCCCTCCCCTCACCCTCCCCTTCAAAACATGAAGGAGAACCCGTGGTAGCTTCAGTTGTCATAAAAACTTAAAAAGTGTTTCGTTTTTCAAGTTTGGATTAATGTGAAAAAAACATGGTGGCTTCCGTAGAGAGGACCTGCTGCTGATGTAAATATTAAATATTTAAATATAAAGGGCCCATTCTAGGGTAAAGATAAACAACTATTTGTGGGGGGGCTGTGAGGAGGCAACAGACAGAGGGCTACAGCCCCGGATACCCAAGCCAGGATACGCCCCTGTTGTTGACCTCTGGGGAATTACAGCCACAGGTGGACGTGTGCTTATCTTCACTGTGCTTCTTAAGTCAGAGCAGAACCCTCTCGGTTGTCAGGTCTCAGTGGCTCTGCTCGGCACTGAAGACCTGAACTCTGCGCACACGTTTTCTCTGCACCCATGAGTAACAGCAGCCTGCAGGGCCTGTCTTTTGCTCTGCCCCTCACCAGCTTTGGCAATGTGCTGATGTTTCTCTTCAGTGTTTCCTTAGCTTCCAGCATCATTTTCCTCAACATGTCCGTGTGTGTCTCCATACTGCTGAACAGGGCTCTGCGCAGCGAGAACCGCTTCATGTACATGCTGAGCACCTGCTTCAGTGACATCTGCACCGGCGTGTCTTATTACTATGTTGGTGTCCTGGATGTGAAGGACATCTTCAACTCCCCTACGAGAACATATTACGTCGTTCCCACATTTTTAGGTCTGTCCTACATGGCCATCCTGGCCGCACAGGCCGACAGGTACCACGCTGTGGTGTCACCTTTCCAATACTCGCGCCGCATGACGCGCAACAGAACCGTGATTGTGATCTGCGCGTACTGGCTCTACGCCAGCATCATCGTGGCTGCGAATAACCTGGTCACCGTCGGCGTGGCCGGAAAGATCACGAGCATTGGATCGTTTGTGGGCAACATATTCGSGGTGATTATAATGATAGGACTGAACATCAGGCTGTTCATCATAGCCAGGTTCCAGCTGGAGAGGGAGCCACCCTCCGTGGAGAGGGACACCAAGCGCTCCTCGGTGTATCTCATACTGGTGGTGGTTTTGTTCTTCCTGGGGACGTGGCTTCCCATCTTCTCTCATGTTATCGCCTGTAACTTCATTGGCTCGGGGTGTTACACCACTAAGAATGAAGGCACCGACCCTCTGCGTGTTTTGCCCCGAGTGAACGCTGCCCTCACCCCCATCCTGTACATCTGCGGCTGCTCCCCGCTCAGAGCCACGCTGCTCACCAAGGTGTGGAGGCCCTGCTGCAGGAGGAGGTGAGAAGTGATGGTGTTAACTCCTCAGTGCTGCCTGCAGGTGTGTGGCATGATGGTCACATCTGGCTTCACGATACATGATGCAGAAAACTCATTACTATTTTATCATTTTTATAGGTTTGTATTTGTGCGTAAAATCACGACAATAATCTGAATATCGCTCTGATGTCTAAGAGTTATCACCTCGTGTTGACATATTGTAGATGGAGTAAATATTGCATGACTGCATGTTTTGTATGTTATGTGTTTAAATGTCCTTTTCGTTAGATCTTACTTTAAATCATTGAGCTCTCTGTTTTTTTACACGCCACAAAACAGCATGATAAATATCCTAAGTGTTGATTTTTCTGACAATAATTCATTGTTTTAAATGTCTTTTCTCATTCTCCTCCCAAGGCGTGATGTGTCCTGGATGACTCGGCCCCATTTGATGCCCAGTGGCTTCATTTCCAAGTGGATAATAAAAACAAAACCCACGGTGGGGGATGTTGCTCTGTGAATACACAGCAGCTGACAAAAAAAACAGTGAGGACAGGTTCAGGGTTTCATGGGAGATGTTGGAAATGTTTCATCAGCCACTCGGCACATCCGTAAACTGTAATCAACACCTTATTGTTTCATATGTTGTGAAATCACAGGGAACAAATTACAGATGTTATTCCACAAAGAAATGATGGAAATAAGGCTAGAAATGAAGTGTATCATATGGAGTATTTGTTATTTGTAATGCCACATATTTAAAAAAGGAGGTTATCAATGAACCTCATTTTCAGCTGAGACGTGTTGATTTTCTTTTTATTCATTGATTTTCGATTCTCTTCTGAATCTCCTCCGAAGTTCTGATAATCCTACGGCTTCTTGACATTGACTCTTAAATGCTTTTAAACAACTTTATTCTATTGATTTCTAAATGTATGTCACTGAAATGTAGCACATCTACTAGATTCATATCTCTAACTTCCTGTATAAATCCCCACTGTGATTTTTGTTGAGTAAGATTTATCACCTGTTTGCCCCGGAGCCGTTTGATCCTCAGCCAGGCTGAGCTACAATACAGGAACACGTGTAGTGAGTCTCAGCACCTTGATAACGCAATGATCCATGAGATGCGTGATCCCAGCCTCCCCTGCAGAGGATGCAGTTTGCCCGGCAACCACACAGTGTCAGGAGCGCACTTAGGCACGGAGCCATCACCCAACCATGATGGGATGTGAATCATGAGGAGGAAGGAAGGGAGGTGCAATACCTGGACGGGCCTTAAAGCCTGTATGTGGACATTAGGATTAAATAGTAGCTTCAGTCATATGCCACCATTAAAGAAACATCATTGATACAGATCCAATAAATTAATTGTTGGTCAAACCCAGTGTGTTCGTATCCTGTCTTCCATTGGCTGAGTGTGGGTCCTCTGTGCCGAGAGGAGGAGCCAGCAGAGCTCCACACTTCCGCACATCTGGTGCCCACTTTCTGACCCACGACCCAATGTCTGCTGACACCTTTAAATCATGAGGTTTTAAATCCACCAAACTCAACATCCAGGAAATAAAATCTAATACAAGTTTATACAGATGCAAATGATAATAATAATGATAATAATAAACTTTATTTATGTGGCACCTTTAATTCAAGAAATGCGGCTCAAAGTGCTTTGCATACAACAAAGATAAGAATAAAAAACGCTTATAAAAATATATAATTTATATAATAGACAAATAGACGCAGATTATAAATAATCTGTATATGGACCCTATGAAAACAGTGGATCAACACATTTTGTCATTTATTCAGATTTGAGATTAAACTGAGAGTATCATCTTCAATCCCACCGATACACAAGGTTAATGCTGCTTGCACATGACATGTTGGATTTGCAGAGGAACATACAGCACAGTGCAGGAAGTGTCAAATGAATCTTAGTCAGTACGGCGAGCTTTTTATATTCAAACAGAGTGAAGTCATATACCATCAGTAAAGTTCAGATACTTTAATCTTTATTCAAAGATTTGAGTAAAAAACAATTATTTATTTTTATACAGTCCCTTCTAACACTTGTTTTTATTGTTGCAAGTGAAACTGGGAATTTTTCCAACACCCTCTCAATGTTTGTTTAATTATTCTGTTTTAAATTAAACTCACACTCATCACACGACCCTCACGAAGTCAGACATGTTCTGCAGAGCAGCCCTTCATTCAGCTGCATTGTCGCTGCTGGGAGGAAACAGGCCTGGACACACATAACATATCCCCCTCCTCTTCTCCTTCTTTCTCCCCCTGCCATCTTGCAGGTAAACTTGCCAGGGGTCCTGGGCTGAGAAAGTGGCCAAACCCTCCCACAGTGGGATGTTTTCTCTGCTGCACTCTGGGCTGGTTCCTATTCAAATGTGGGTCAGGGGTGAGGAAGCCTAACGTCATAAGCTTGCAACATGGCGTCCCGAAGGCAGTGAGATGAGCAAGAGGATGGTAAAGAACGCTTGAGAACGATCCCACCGATGTAAGAAGGTAATTTAACTGCACTATTTCATCTTTGACTCGGAGCGTAAATGCGCCGCGGAGCCGCTTTTGTGCGCGTTTCTCCCGGATGGCTTTTTTTCGCGGATGGGGCTTTTCCGTGCTGTTTTTTCCACGGCGTGCCAACAAAAAAGGGGCTCCGCTGGTGCCTGCTCTGGCTCCATACCAGCCTGCTTGGCAAGCCGAGGAATCCCACCTCATTTTCCCCCACAATTCACCGCCTCTCCGGTTCCATCCACACATTTTGAATTGTTTGCAAACGTCGTGGCGTTTATTTTCTGGCGTCGTGCGTTTTTGAAAGAGATGCCTCACAGGACGGAGCGTGTGTGTGCCAAACAACCACCAGGCTGGCAAAGCACATTACAGCCACAGAAAGGATCCTCTAACGTCGCTGCGCTTTCACACACACACACACACACGTAGAAACATTCACACACTTTACCACGTTTTCTCTCTCTCGTACGATCCAACGAGTTCAATGAATTGTTCGCCCTGATGGAAGGTAACGAGCTGAACGTTTCGCGTGAATCGATCGCTGTCATGTAACGAGAGCGTCGACAGTAAATAAATAAATAGCGTTTAATGAATCCAAATGATCCTGTGAATTTTACGCACGATACGTTGCGCAATCGTGCTGATAATCGTAGTGATTTCGCAGCAGATACAGTGTCATCATTGTTTATATGTGGGTTAAGCCACCTCAGACTTAGGGCTAATTAATAATAATGTAACAGGATTGACTTACTAATATACCCAGCACAACGTGCACGCAGGTTCTCAACGGGTTTAAAACGTGGCCTCGTATTAACGTGAATTTCACTGATGCAGAGGACTGTGCATGTCTTAATATCCTGTAGGTGCACCACTGCTTTACATCGACCATCTTTGTGATCAGCTATAGTGTGGGTGTAACGTTACATTGTGACCCAAGAGTGCTGTCCTCTATAGAAACACTGTTGCCTGATATTGATTTCCTCATGTCAATTATCATCCTAATTAACCCCAATAGTCACATCAGGTTGAATATCTATTTTTTGTTTTAATTATTTGGCCAAACACAAAGAGTAGCAACTAAAACAATGTCTGTGCTCTGGTGTGAAGGCATCCTGGCTCCTCAGGTGATTAGAGTTGTTAAAAGTACCAAGGGGCATGGAGATAATAAGGCACAGGAATGTCAGTAATGTGGTTTTCTTTTTTTTGTGTGTCTATTTTAGTTGGAGTACAGGTCTGTTTTTACATTTAGATGCAACAAAGTAGAAACACTATCACAAGATGTAATTCAGGGACTTTTGTTGTGTTCTATCATGAATGGAACTGAGGTACTTGTTGTTTCAATGTGTGTTACGGTGTAGGAATTGTGAATTCTCAAAGTAACTTTGCTTGTTTTTACTTGAAATGTGTCAGTCTTGATATATGAGGGATGGGTTGTGTCTCTCCAGAGAGTTCTCACTTGCCCATTAATGGTCAGTTAATGTTTGTAAAATGTGTTGTTGAAGTGTCTTTTTGTCCTCGTCACGCATGACAAAACAGTTTTTTTCTGCCTTGTTTGATTCATAGTCACAAAAAGTCAACAGTTTCATTCTTCACATCTAATTTAGAGATTGTTGGTTGTTGTTGTTTGCATTAAATCGCCTTAAGTTGACAGTTTGTTCAAGGTTTTGATAAATGCAACACTTTCACAGTTTTTTTTTTTACATTGAGACATTTCTACATCACCGTTGTGGCTTCAGTCACAACTTAAGTTCAATAAAAAGATAAATCCATCTATTTTCACAACCTCTTGCCCCTTTCAGGGTTGAAGTGTGCGGCAGCCTATAGCCTGAAGATTACATAGGATTACATTTTGGCTGGTTACACCCACCCAGAAGTGTAGTTAAAGAGTTGCTCCGACTGCCAGTTACAATTAACTGAACTGTGCTTTTTAGCTTTTGGCAGTATTGACTAAATGTTTTCAAAGCCTGATGTTGTGCATCATAATATTTTCCCCACTGTCTTTATATCTGGTGAGGGTTGTAATGCTGGAACACGGCTCCTGGCTGTGCTGCCTTCGGCATTTGATTGCAACAATGCTGCATCTGTAACCGCTTTGATGACTGGCAATGCACCAAGGTTGTTGTTCATGTGATCACTTTATTTACAGTTTGTCTTACAGACTTATGCAGTAAATAGTAACTTCAGTCCCTAGACTGTGATGCAGATGTACAGCAAAGTGAGAACTGAGAGGAAACTTTGACATTAAGTAACCGGTGTGGTCTTTTGTAATTGTATGTCCCAGCCCAACTGTCAGCATCTTGTGTCGTCAGATATTCATATGTACACATAGGTGCGTCTTGTAATAAAAGTCAATCAAGTTAATTTAATGAAGTCAACTGATCAGTGTGACTAGTGTCATTGATTACTATGGACTACATAGTGGAGCCTGCAGGGTAATTTGAGGCCCATGTGTGTGCCTCATGATCCTCATGATCAGCTGGTTGGTCTTGCCTCACCCTCCTTGTCCCTTCCCCTTCTCAATGCACACAGTATCCTGTGTGAATTGTTATCATGGCTTACAGTGTCGTGTGTGGGCAGCACAATGCAGTAAGCAGGCTACTTAGGCTATATGTTCTGCTGACATGTTGCACGAGGACTTATAGATTGCGGCGCTGGGCTGTCGTATCTACATGGATCTGCCTGTTCTGCTCTGTTCGAGGGCAATTCGGTTTGTTCTGTGGCAAAAAGGAAAACTCCTCAGGGCAGGGTTGTTGTTCTTTAAGAAGAAGACAGTCTGTGGAATGTAGTGCTGATAGCCAGAAGGTTATGCACTGTGTAAAGGCTGGAGGAGGGGGTGGCAGCTCTGTAAAACCTTGGACCATACATGATCTCTCTCCTTGCCCAACATGCCCTCTGTCCTTAACCTAAGCATTAAGCATCAGGTCATGAGGGTTCGCTGCTTTTGACGCAGGGTTTTATCTCATCAGCAGAGTTCGTTTTCTCAGGACAGAGGGCATTTTATCACACCAATCATATGTTGGCTAGTTAGTGAAGTGGTTGATTAGTTCGCTTTCAGTGAGCGTACGCAGATTCAGTGTTTGTGTGTGGCAGTTACTAACCAGTATTGCTCGTGGCCTCACTGAAAATCTCAGAGTTGGTGTTAATCTTTATTTAATTTCTCCAGGGGCTCCTTGGATGCAGCAACTGAGTCAAAACAGAATGCAGCATAGACGATACACAAATTTACACAAATGAGAAAGGTCAACAGGGACTGGGTTAGATGTTAAATACCACGATTTGTTCATCTCACAGTTGAACAACAGAAATATTTTATCTACTCTTTCCCTCTTAACAGTGAACTCACATAAGTCATAAATACATTTGAGAACCTTTTAACAAAGCAAAATTAACTCTGTAATGCATTTGAAACACTCGATTTTGGATTCATTAAAGATAAGATAAATCATGTACTCTGCATTTCTATCTGGATCTTTTCGGATACATTTGTTTGATGTCAATTAATTTGATAAAATGTACTCTTATTTAGAAACTAGCCATATACACAGTTACAAGCTGTTGCAAACTGACTGATCGAGTTACTGGCTGTATGTTGGAGTTTCCCCATCAGCCATTGACCTTTCAAAATGTTTTGCACAAAACCGGTTCTGCTGCGTCACCAGGGGGCATTTACAGGGTGTGTGCCCATCTTATCACCTTTGTGGTCACATTTACAGACTTTTTTCAACTTCAGCGACTTTCTTTTTGTCCGAAAATAGAAAAAAACACGACAAATCTAACCAGGACTATTTGGACAAACCTTTGCTCCTCTTGTTCACCAGTATTTTGAATCTTATTTAACTGACCACACAGCAGCTGTTGTTTAATGCATTTTCTATTGTCTGATAACAAAAACATGTAAATGAGAGAAGTGTTACTGGTCATCACATATGTGCTTATTAGTGTTTTCACTCAGAGCAGGTGCTGCTTTAGTGTGGATCTAGTCTGGTTTGACTTCATCCAGAATGAGTGGAAGCATTATTTTAGATTAACAATCAAAAAGTCTCTGTAAATGTAAGAGCACTGGCTGGAAATTTATGCTTTATCTTCATACAAATGTCAGCTGATCTCTGTAAACTGCATAATAATATTCACGGACATTAATTTAATCTTAACTCTGACATTCTGATCTGTGCCTTTTAAACCTTGTCATTAAATGGTCCCATGTCTATAAATAATGTTGAACTAAATGAGACCTGGCCATGGTTTATAGATACAGGGGGAGAAGTGTAAGGCTCCAGTATCCAGCAGCATCACAACAATAAAGAGGAGGGGAAATATGGTCAAGTTTTGTGTGTGTATGTGCTGTTTTTGCATGCATGAGGGAGCACACTTGTACACCTGTTACTCCCTCTAGACTTGGCTGTGGCTTTAGGATCTAGTATTACCTGTTGCTGACATGCACACCACAGAAGACCTTCATTCTTGGCTCATTGTTTATGTTGTGATGTAGGAAAATAAGTTTTGTACTCACGCTATTTTTTTTTTTTCCACTGTTACTAATGCTCTGGCGTAAGAAGGTCTTAAATGGGAAAAAAGGTGTTTTTACTGTGAATGTGCGTGAAAGGGATTCTTGCCTTTTCTTCCCATGCTTCATAGCAGTGGCACATCTGGGGTACACAGCAGACCCCCCCCCCCCCTGTGATGAAATGGACGGGGCTCTTTTCACTGCACTGCACCCTGGGCAGGACTTGTTTGTCTGCAACATGGCTGAACTGCCTGACAGAAAATTGGTCTTAATTGGAAGGTTTCTACCCAGACTATAGCAGGGACACTGTAATGTACCTGATCATGTGTATTTATATCCAACCGTTCTGCAGAAAACTCTCATCTCTGAGACGGCACAGATCAGTCTTTACCTCTTGTATTAAGGTTTTTGAGCTTTTGTGCAGCAGGACGTCTCTCCTGCAGCTTTTCTTTGGAGATTATAACTAGAATTGGATCCAGAATTCCAGCAGACG